AGGTGAAATGTTGATGAAGATGAAACATGATGTAGGTAAAACATGATATAGGTGAAATGCAATAGATATGAAATACTGATATAGATGAAACACATCAATGATGGGATCAGTTGTACAGTTACAGGGTCAACAACAAATAGTTAGGAAAAGAACCCAAACCCCCCTTCTCACACTGTAACAGTCTTCTGCCATGCCGATTTGTCCTGGTTAGAGAATGAACCCTAGAAATTCAACTTCTGATATGTCAAAGAAGCACTTTTCAGGTTTGAGGAATAGATCTGATTCCTTTAGATGTTGGAGAACTATTTGAGTGCATTGTCAATGTTCCACGTGATTGGTAGAATAGATGAGGATGTCATCAATGTAGATTACCAACCGTTCTTCTAGTAGCAGATCTGCAAAGATGCCGTCTATCATAGCTTGGAAAGTTACTAGGGAATTTGTCATTCCAAAGAACATGGCTGTTGGTTCAAATAATCCTCTTGGAGCGGTGAAAGCTCCTTTCCATTCATCCCCTTCTTTGATGCGTACATTATTGTATCCTGCACATAGGTCAAGTTTGGTGAACATGGTTGGCTTTGCAGAGGCAATATGATCCAGTAGATCTTCTACTCATGGAATGGGGTAGGTGTTCTTGATGATGGCGTCATTGAGTTTCCTGTAGTCTTGACATGGTCATAGATCTCCTGATTTCTTATTGACAAAGAAAAATGGAGATGCCATAGGAGACTTTGATGAAGGAACATATTCAGGTACTCTGGTATATTACTAGCAAGGGTCTTGATTGCTTGTAGAAGTTGATCCCAATGAAAGCACATCTGTCCTGTGAGCCAATTGATTGTTGGATTGAAATGTTTGAACCATGAGAGACCTAGAATAATTGGATTCCTATCCAATACTGTTGCATAGGCTTCTATCTTCATTGGTCATCCAGATAGGGATATGGTGAAGAAGACCTTGTGTTTGATGGCTGTGGCTTTATTTGGTGATCCATTGACATTGAATACTGGTCTGGGTGTTATACTTTGATACTGGAGATTGTGATCTTGAGCAAACTGAATGTCAATATAATTCTCCATTGCTCCTGTGTCGAGCAATGCCTCAGTGGTGACGGTTTTGGCATAGGTTTTTAATATACAAGGCAAATAAATAGATTTATGAGCTAATATGGCCTGATATAAGTAATCCTTAGTGCCATTACTTTGATTCGACGTCACAGCAATCAAAGACTTCAAAAATCCTTCTCAGAGGATATAGCCTGAATGTATTCTTCAGCTATCCCTTCCTCATCGGAGGAATCCTTGGTTTCATCCTTCTCCTGAGTGGATGTGTTGTGGGACTCAATTGCTCTGATACAATTGTTTGGACATTGACAACTTTGATGCCCAGGTTTGTGATATCTGAAGCATAACTTCTTGTCCATATGCTCCTTGTGATCTTTATCTGACAGACGTCTGATACGTTGATCATTTGATGATACTTCCTTTGATGATCCATCCCTAGTCTCAACTGCCCAATTGCGATGTACAAACTTGTTGCAATTAAAGGGGCGGTTGGATGATAGTATGAATAAGGGTTTATCACCGAAGATGTCGATCATAGATTGATAGATAGATTGGATGCTGTTAAGGTATCCTACCACTGTGACTGGTAGTGGTGGTTGAGCGGCAGTCTTGATTAGGAGAGCAGGGGGGATGAGATGCTGGAGCTCTCGGATTTGCCCTAGTTTGTTTAATCCGCTAGCCTGTAAGAGAGGTCAAAGGGTTGTGACAAATCAAAGACTGTTTCCTCCACATTTCACCCAAGTACATTTGCTGATCTCGTTTAATGCTGCTTGGGTATTGTCCTCTACTCCAAAGGTCTGGATGAAGGACTTCCTGAAGTTAGCCCAACTAGGTAATCCTTTGGGGGGTGCATCGTCAGAATCAGATATGGGTTCTTCCGCATCAGTGATGATGGTGTGGATGAAAAATTGGGCAGGTCCTTTGATATATGAAAGAGCACATTGAACCTTATCTTTGTCAGTCTGGATCTTTTTGGGATTTCCAGCAAAGTACAGTATAACTCGTCCAGAAATTCCTTGCTCTTTCCTTTGTCTCCTTCAAACTGGTTAGGTTTGTTTACTGCTCCGCTGTTGTTGTTGGACATGTCTCCTTCTTCTTCATCACTGGGTTCTGGATCACTGTCTTCTGGATTGTTTGGATGTCTGTTGGCAGGTTCTTCTTCTGGGTTAAGATCAACTGGAGATCTGGGTGGCTCTGGCTTGGGTTCTGTTTGAGCAGGGGTGGGAGGTTGTTCCTCTACTGGGATTGATGGGTTGACTGGTTCAGGTGAGTCAAATATTCCTGAAAAGAAGCTGGGTCTAATGGTCAGACTAGTGCTTATTGATTTGCTTGGCAGGAGTTTGGTGGGTGACTGGAGTGGAGATGTGTGTGGTGTAGGAGCTACTACACTTCTGCTAGATGATACTGCAGTGGGAGTGAGGTATGATGGTGTAGGAGAGGACTTCTCTGCTAGTGGGGGTACTACTGAATGCCAATTGTCTTTGCTTCTGATAGGTGCTAGGATCGGTGTTGCATTAGGGATAGTCTTATCTCTTTTCCTATTTGGGCAGAATGAATCGGTACAATACTGGTAGGAGGATCCGTTAAACCACTAGTTGGTTCTCTTGTTCTTGTTGTAAGCATGGATCTTATTGAAGCAAAGGA